GAAGTATTTAAATTGAAAACGACATTGAAATTGGATTATATTCAGAACATATAAAACTATTGAAAAAGCAGTATCAGAATTATAGAACATTCTATTTCCGATAAAATTAGAAGTAACACTCCTAATTTACTGACTGAAGCAGAATAACTTATAATAGTAACGATATTAAAACGGTTATACCTTACCGCCCTTTACTGTTGATTGGATTCGTTTAGTTGTCCGTTCAAAAGCTTTCAAGTTGTATCGAACTATTGCAACGAAACGGTACGGTTAACCGTCGACTGTGGCGCCCTCACAATGCGCACCTCGTTTTGTTGCATCCTCTTATTTGTTCCACGGTTTAAGCACTCATTTATTGAGCACTGCTAAATTGCATTTCGTTTTTTCGGGAAAGTAATTACTTATTGTTTTCACCACACAATTAAGAGATCCCACTGCAAGCTTTTTGATAATGGAAAGCATATACTGAAATATATAAAAGTGAAGTAAATATGTACAGAAAAAAATTGTAACGTCAATTTCTTTTAATTATCAATTCTTCCATTACATTTTACTTTGTTAGTTATCTCAAGATTCATTCTTCTAAACAAAATAATTCATCGGATTGGTTACTTGGGTAAATCCTTCTTCTTTTAATAAGTAATTAGTATCAAAGTAAAAAAAGGCCAATTTTAATCAAATAGCAATAAAAGGGAGGTCTATATGGAGGGAATTTCACTTGCTGTACATTTTATCGTATGTTTTAAAGGTAAGACATTGATTTAATAAGTTAACGCTTTTGTTTGAAATATTACTTAAAAAAAGAAAAGTTTTTATGGTTTTTTTTTTGGTATTTCCAAACTGTGTCACAGTAAATTGTTAGTTAGCCATCGTAATGCTTCCGATTAAGGTATGATGATGGTCCTAATCGTCCAAATCGAATATTTGTAGGACGTAAAACAGACACCTTTCTTAAAAAAGATGAAAAATATAGTTGTTGCAATCTTGTGCGTATCGTATCTTTAACAAAATCTAAAACTTAGATAATAAGTCAGAAAATATATAAAAGCAACCAATAGAATTGATAGCAATGATGCTGTTGTCCATTAAAATAGAAAGGGCTTATTAAAGACAGACAGGCCAGTGCGAACAGAGCGATCCGCGGACAACTCTTGAACGCAGTAATGGAATTCTCTTGCTTTTCCTATTGATGCCTCGATACATTAATACTTTGGAATTGAAGCATTTTATTTGCAACTAAATAGTTAACAGTTTGTGCTGTCTATTTTAAACACATTTACTTGCTTGATGTTTCATTATAAAATTTTGTGATATTCAACTGCAATTCTTTCAGAAACATTCTAAAAAATTGTTTGCAAATTCATAAGTAACTACTTGTGTTAATGAAGAATTTTTTTTTTTTTAGAATTTAACGTGAGATGAAAAACTAAAAATGAGAATTAAGTCTCACTTTTCAGACTTTACGTACGTTTTTTCAGTTTTCAGTAACTGATTGCGTCTCTCGTTATTGAAAACATTAATAAATGTCATTTTAATTTACTATTTTATAGCTATAAGAGGTGCTACGCGTTTTTCATTACGCTACAAAAGCAATGTGAAATCAAGAAGCATTGCTAACATTTGTATATAATTAAACAAAACCGAGGGACAGTTTTACGGCCAAAGAAGTGAAAAGTTTGCAGTGAAAGAGCGTGAACGGGGTCCGTGCAAATTTAAACAGACAGACGGAATGCCTGGGTACATCTCGAGCAAGAGAATTCCATTTACCTGCCCTAAACGTCTGCTTCTTACCCAAACACAACGTAAACAAATTTATTTTTCTACGTATTTATTAAACTTAATTTATTAAAAAAAACATACCGTGTTATTTTCGATATGACATGTTTTCAAATTGAAATAACTCGTTGATATTCCACAGCGGAATTATTTCGCTGTTAGCATTTGTCTGCCTTTGTGGTAAATGAAACTTGTTTAAAACAGTCTTTAAAAGAAAATATGTCGTTACTTTTTCCGTAAAAACTGTTGAAACTTACGCACTTTATGGAGACTTAAAACGAGAAAATAAGATATAATAAAACAGTGTCCTGTTTATATGTTGGTATTGTTTTGTTGGCGTCCAGAACATAACACGTCGGTATTCCTGTTTTCATTTCGCCGTCAGCACTCGCTGGATACCTTTTAAACCAGAAAATGGATGGAACACTGAAGTTATAAAAAGAAATACGACATTTCTCGTCTGTGTTTATTGCCGTACATTAGTTATACTGCTTCCGTAGTGTCGTTTCGGCATGAAATGGGAACTAATGAGATTTTGATGTTTTTTTGACTGGGCTTTTATTTTTCTTGAGAATATAACGATGTTGCTTGCAACCGAGACTACACAGCTGGTATCATTTATATTTGATATAATATAATGCATTATGTTATTTATTGATTTTAATTTAAAAAAGTGCAGAGAGAACTGACCTCCCTCCGCAAGGCCAGAGGATCTAAACGATCGGTAAGAGCTGAGCCCAGAGATGCGAGCAGTACTCCATGTGGGGCCGAACTTGTGCCTCGGCTGGATATACTGCTTTACCCTACTGAGCACACCCAATTGATATAGTAAAAGATAATAACCCCTCTTTAAAAAGAAATATCACTATATTCAATAAATTCAACATACACATTTATTTCATAAGCACTAATTAATATGTTGTAAAAGTTAACGCACGAGTTAACAAATCATTTGATAAAATTAATTGCTATTAACGCGAATAGTATTCATAAAATACTAACTCCATTTTAATAATAAAAAAATATTGTGAATGTTGGGTAAAGTCCATATCGGAGCGTAATGTTTTTGGTGAACTATGCTCAGAGTAATAAATTAAAAACTAACTCTTCTATGTAATATAGCAATTTATATTCAGCCGCGCACTCCGAGCCTGCAGGCACTGTATTCGTACATTCGCTAACTTTAAAATATCCTAGTCTTTACTCAAATACACACTAGCTAATACCCGCGATATCACTCACTATGTACACAAATACGGTTGCGATAATTCTGTCTGCACTCGTAACCGTATTTTATATTTCGGCCCGCTCCTAATTGTTTCAGCGTAATGTTAGATTAACTATAGCATTCTACACTAATTAGACTAGCAAATGTAACACGATATTAAATTGTACTTCCTCAGTTTAGCGTGTGCAGACATACTCTTCTTCTATTTAATTCAGACATGTTGACTAGTAACTAACGCGATTAAATATTGAGCGAAAATAATCGCGTATCATGGTAAATATTTTTCGTACATTTAACCTTTTGATATAGATACGTTATCGAAAAGATATAGCAAAATTAACAATAAACACAAAATCCCTTCCCATATTGGCAAGTATTGTCAGATATTTCGTTATAACTGACAGCTGTATTATGGAAAATTTCAACTTACGTCACACGTTTACCGTGACCATTCAAATTGTTGCTTGTGCAATAACGTAATTTCCAGTTTCTGCTTGAAAAATAACGAATCTCTTTCAGTCTAAAATAGTAATAGCTAACGATATTAGTGTACATGTGTAATGTTCATCTACACATGTAATAAAATTGGATTGTCTGTTTGTAATATCAAAAGAAAAATTCCTGATTTCGGGTAAATGATATATATGCGTTGGTGATAACGAAAACGCATTTAAAATTATTTTGTCTGTTTGTCCGCGAGCCGCGTTTGTTCCGCGTAATCTCCGAAACGACTGGACCGATGTCGACTTTCACTGAAGGGTATCTGACATAGGGCATATTATAGGCTACTTTTTATCTTAATATTGCGTGGACGAAATAAAATTTAAATTGTTATTTTAACTGTCTACTCCAGTCATTTTTAAAATCGAACATGTATAGTTTGTTTGTACAAATTTATAAGGCAAATAGTGTTCTTTATACTTCATTCGTTACTAAAAGAAAAATGTTTTAAATGTCGGACTTTATTAAAGAAGTTTAAAGGTTATTACAAAGATGTTGACTGAAAAGACAATCAGTCCTGCGTAAAAAAAATAGCTTCGTAATGCTAAACAACTGTTTGCAGAACACAAATATATCTGTGTTTAATTTCGTCGACGCTAAATAAATTCATTCCCGCTGTGCAACGCGGGGAGCGCGTAAATCTAGAGGGTCCTTTTCGTATATATTTTCCAGGGAAAACTAACGGATTATACTCCGCGCCCAGAATTTTGTATATTTTGCTCTTTGTCGTCGAGGAATATTGTACAGTGAGCTATTGTATGAAATAACAAACATTTTTTTCACCAAGTCGCTTTGAGTTAGTGTGCTTCTACTGTACGTTTTCAGTAAATGTATGCATTTACACCACTCACAGAAGTATGGACTTTAATTTATTGCGTACTGCGGCAAACATTTTATTAACGGATCAACATTTGACTTGTAACTAGATTTTTTTTATTAAATTATTGTGATTGCACAATATAAAGAATTAAAATATTGTAGTTTTTCAAATAAGGATATGATTTGGAATCGAGTGATTTTTGTTCTTGCTCCAATTGATGTTAAAACACTTTTATGCAGTTTTAGATTAAGTCCAAAAACTTCGGATCGTCTTTTATTCGTGTAGGTTCATCATGGACTTTATATTTTAAGACACTTTTTACTGTACATTTACGCTATAATGGGATAAAGAAATGTGTTTTGTGAAAGAAACACATTCATCCTTATGCAAGTCAGTGACCGTCTGCTGGCGACGCCCGCCGCGTGCCGCGTGCTCTTCCAGGCCGCTAGTTATTGTTTTAAACATGAGATTTTTGGGACTTACCCTTGTATAGTTTTTAAAGTCAAGCGTTATTCTAAAATTATATTTGAAATACGATATCCAGAATGGTATTTGTTTGATCTTAATTGGACAATAAATATAATCTATTTTCTACGTCTTGATTAAATGCCCTTTTTTAAAACACAAGGTTTAAGTAAACTTTAAAAGATAATAAAAAAATTCGTTGATTTGTTTTCAGTTTATTAAATAACATGATAATCTTTTTACAGACTAGACAACATGTTAAGCTCTTTATGTATAAATTTCACCTAAAAGTTTTATTACCTTACTTATATCTAGCTTCAGTCTTAAAATTATAAATGCTTGCTAAATGAAATTAAGTAGATAATATTGTTCCATGTATCACAGCCACGGAAATTATTATAGTGTCCTATCTATAGTTTACATCCAATTCAGATGTTTTAACATTTTTATTTGGCTTTTTTGTTTCTTTTAATTCTTCTGTCATGACATTTCAACAACATCTACATTCTTCTTTTTCCGTCTTCTTTCTTCGAACCATATCATTATCATATCTGGAACCCACATTATCAAGAATGCTACCAATAATGCATTCTGTGCGGATATGCACACGATGAAGCTGCCCGTATAATCTCTGATCCATCCTAGGAAGTATCCTGTAGGGGGAACTATCATTCCCATACTTAGCATACCCAAACCAACAGCAGCTGGCACTTGATCCAACCGACAATTTTCAGATATAGCAATGTTCCGGGCAACGATAACCATACTTCTGCCAAAACCGTATAAGCATGATAGAACGAGGAGAACGGTTAAGTCACTTTGGTATGCAAGAACTGAAAATAAATTGCAAGATTCATTATTTTTATCAACTCAATAACACGGATACATACGAGTACATATGTTTTTCAATGTACAGTCAGCTCCATTGACATTTATAAATATAAATGTTAATGGATGCCGTTGATTTAAAACATGCATGGACATATTCGTTCGTAAACTTTTAAGACATGTTATTGACGAACAAGTGCATGATTTAAAAAGAAAACTGAAGGCCTGAAGTGTGCTGAAGTTTTGTAAATGTATTCATATTTATGCAGCTGACTGTATACTTTAAGAGATTAATTAGAATTACAAGAGCATTTAGCCAAGTGAATAAATGAAAATCGTAATTGTTTACTATAGGATTCTACTGATTAAGTAGTCATACAAAATTGTCACCTCTTACGTTCTGTCTCCTCTATTCCAAAAGGAATAACAAAGATGCAACAAAATTGCCTAGTAAATTAAATATCCGTAATAAAAAATCTAAATCTAAAATATTTTTTTTGACACAGTTCATTAGTTGAAAAGATTAGATATTGTTGTTTTGTAAAACTATAATATTGTCATAATGTATCATTGGTAAGATGATAATTATGATAATGCTGACCTAATTTTCATTGATTTATAATCGTGTCTAGTCTGGTTTGCCGGATCTGATAATCTTAATATTTGTAATGAATTACGCAAATGACAAATCATAACGAAGCAATAATATATAACTTTGTGTAAAGTAACGCATGATCCACAAATTTAGAAGAATTTGGTGTAACCAGAAAATAAGTCCTATAAGATTCACCACCATTTTATTTCCTAATATAATCTATTTATCCTTTTTGTAGTAATATTATAATAAACAAGGTTGTATACAATAATACTACAGAACTATTTGAATAACGTTCAACTGTTTAAGTAACTATGAAAGAAGCGCCACAATGAAAATTCGGGGATTTCCTTGCATTTACGCATTTAATTTGAATGAACAATGAAATGACATAGTTTATATAGAATACTAGTTTTCGCTCGCGACTCCGTCCCCGTGGAATTAAAAAAAACAAAACTGAGTACCCCATGTGTTTTTCCAGACTGTCCTCTACATTTATACCAAATTTCATCGAAATCCGTTCAGCAGTTTAGGCTACAAACTCTAACAAACATCCATCCATCCATCCATCTATCTAAACTTTCATAATAGCTAGTCGACAAATTAACACACTTGCAACGTATGTATACGAATATTTGATAGAGATATTTCAAGGCGTATAAATAAAACTTATAAACTCACCCTGTCTAACAACGATTAGCCAAATACTTGTCAAAATAATCATCATTCTCGCCTTTATCCTGTACTTGTCTTGGAATACGGGTAATGTCAATCTGCCAATAATATCGGCGATGGCAACAGCAGACATGCAATTTGCCGTTTGCTGTTTATCCAGGGATGCCACTTTCTGCAAATCGTTAAAGACAAATTAAAACACATACAACTTAAACTTATTAAATTCTAGCTTTTGCCCGCGACTCCATCTAGGTCTGTGCCACATTTCATTCAGATCCTTAAAGCCTTTTAGGCTACAAACTCTAACAAACATCCATCCATCCAAACTTTCGCATTTATAATATTACTAAGATTCCATTTCATAATGTTGTTAATATATGTTACATGACATACTTAAGAAGTATCGAATGAAGATAACTGTAATTGTAACAATTGATAATAAGATGTTAAATTAAATTGCGTCATCAATACAAAAAACATATATTGATTGTTGCTAAGCGTTACTTAAAAAAATGTTCTGTTACATAAACAAGTATACTCGTATTACACAAAAAATTGCAGTCGTATATCTTTTTATTCGTAATTTTTTTACATCTCATTAATTTTACGCCAACCAAAAGTCGGAAGTGTCTTTCACGTGCTAAATTAATGTGCTCGTGAACAAATACTAATTATATTAAAATATTCATCAGAGTAAAGTACAATACGTACCTGTAAAAAGATAGGAAATATAAGACTGAAGTTTTGAATCGAAGTAACTGTTAATGCTGTTCCAATAATAATGTTAATGAACCGAGGACTCAATAACAAAGACATGTCAAACAATTCATATATCTTTCGGAATATACTTTTATGTTGCGCTTGATTCGGTGATGAGTTTTTGCCTGAAAGTAAACTACGTTCTCTTAGATAATGTATGTGTTAAAAACTAAATCAAGCAGTTATTGCCCTTTACTATAAAATAAAGTATTTATAATTTATAGTGATGTTATCGTACCATTCATTGGCAATCCGTTTTCTCTTTCATTGTTTGAAATCCGACTACCGTTTTGGTAAATTGATTCACCATTTACTTTATGATCTTTATCAATGACAATGTTTTTGTGTTTGTCTTCCAATAGTTGTATTTTTTCATCTATAACAACCTCTTCTTCTACTTTTTTCATGTGCCATGCTACTGGCTGTATTAATAATGTGCCACCGATCTGTAATCAGAATATATTTAAATTAAAATAATTCATTTTTGACTATTTTCTAGTTAGAACTTTAGTAAAACTAAGTCCGCCCGCGGATCCGCATGAAATGAAGAAATTAAAAAGTAAATAGCCTATGTGTTCTTCCGAACTATCCTCTAAGTCTATGTCAAATTTCTTCGAGATCTTTTTGCAGTTTATACTACAAACTCTTACATCCATCCATCCATCTAAGCTTTCGCATTGATATTAAGAAGATAAGATAAAACATTACCCCATGTAAACTCAAGGATCCTAACAGCATACAAGCTCCTCGGAAACCATAATTTTCTAAAAGATATCTAACAACATGCGGCATAACTGTCTGTCCTATACCTGTACCGACGTTAGCTAAGCCCACAGCTCTACTCTTTCTTAATTTAAAATAGCTGTTTATTGCCACAAACGACGAATTTTGTATAAATCCCAGTCCAAAACCTAAAAAAAAAACTTAACGTTAATACATAAACAAATAATAAGATTGAATGAGGATGTCTTCGAAAGTATGAATTGGATTGTGTATAAGAGGATATGCGGAAGATGGAAGTGAAATCAAATATGACGGCTGATATAAAAATACTTAGAAGTAGTACTTTAATGTGAAAAACCCAATTCAGCTTGAATTTAGATAATGTTCACTTACCTAAAAAAATACCGTAAGTAATTACTAAATGCCATATATTAGTTGAAAAGCCGCTTAGTAAAATACCCAAAGTACAACTGCATGCTCCTAGCACAGCTACAAATCTAGTCGACGTTAATTTTATTATTGCCCCCGCAATGGGACCGCCGAAATTTGTAGTAAATAACATCGTGCTTAGCACTATAGCGGCGCCTTTAGTATTGTGGCCCATTGCTTCTAATGCGTCTCCGTACAACAAACTGAATAGCGACAGCATCGACTGATTAAAAATCTGGAAACAGTTTTACATAGTAAATTTGAGTGACCAAAAAGATTTTTAACGTATATTTTAAATGCATCTAATATTCAATCATATGCATAAAGACTCGTAGTGTCGCTTTATAGTCATGGTCATATCTATCATTCTAAACCTAAAGTAAGAGAGAATATTTTTGAAATTAGATTTTTTTTACTTATGCTAGACAAACTTAGGTTCAGTACATAGTACATACATTAGACAATGCTGCTCCAGCGACCACCATCCAACCCCAACCTCCATCTGGTGGAACCAGTTTTAGTCTTTTCTCCACTCTAGGAACGGCCATCATTGAATTTCTATTTGACATTGTGGTTTACTTAGATTTCTTCTCATAATATTCTATTTACTAGTAGGAAAGATAATATCATGTCATTCCCAAGGTTATTAATCTGTGAACAAATTAAAAATTTATACAATCTTAAAGGAAATAAATTACAACCAAAATAAATTGGTAACAATCAAACTACAAAACTTCCTTGAATCAGTCACCTGTCCGGACAACTAAGTAGGGTTACGCTCGTGCTAATGCTGTCGAGGAATCACGGAGACCGGTTTTAAATCACGTGACTTCTTGAGACAGCATAAAACTTTCTGTTTTTTGTCGACCCGTTAATGTTATAACTTGTATTTAGTGTTTCAAGAATTTTAGCGGTAGCGAATGTTTTCTAAACGATACAAGTGATAAAGTTTTTAACTATTGCTATATCCCTCGGTAACTCGGTAAGGAATAGAATATCAAAACGTCAAGATCAGACAAGCTAGTTTAGTCTCTACAAATATAATATCACAGAAGACATTGACCTCAAAGATTTTTATTGACGAGATAACTTTTAATTTTTTTGCGGGTCACTTGCATCATTTTTTATCAAACACAATGGTTAAAGTCCGATTGTATAAAATACTCAACATTCCGATACAGTGAGTTCGCCAAACTTATCGATGAAGAACGTAAACACAAGCGACGATGGAAATGTTTTTCTAGATATGCTTGACATAAATTTGAAAGCGCGTATTTGTGATAAGGTTGTTATTCTAGATTGCGATTTCTAGGGGGCCATCGCATGATTGTATTACGCATTTTATAATTTACTACTTAAAAAATATACAATTCTTATCATAACTAAATTATTAGAAATTAACCTATTTGTTCCAAATGAATTTGAATATCGTATGCAGGCAGGATAAATCTTATTGTGATTTCGAATGAGATCCAAAGTAAACTTTCACTATGGTTTCAATGAGATTCTTGTTTAACGTATGCAAGTAAATATTTTCTTATAGAATGAACTCAACCTTCATTGTTTATTCTTCATCTCTTGTATTCCAGGTCAGAAATATGGTATTGTCGCTTTGTCTAACACACGCATTATTATAAGAATTATGTTCAAGGTAACAATAATCTACTCCATTAACACTGACGCGAACTCGGAAGAGATTATTTTTTATTACGTACAATATTATTTAATCTATTTAATGATTATTTTCATCGTGGTCTTTCATTTGTCGTGTATGTATGTTGAATGTCTAACCAGTTCCAAAAGTGTTTCCTAGGTCATTTAATCTTCTGTACAAAATGATCACACCTTGCACCACTTCTATTTCAAGGTTTTCATACTTTTCAAATTATATGCATGCAGCAAAAACAAGTGACAGCAATTTTGGTTTAAGATTCTTTTGTTAAATTTAATAAAAAGCACCGAGATATTTTAAAACTGTCCTACAATTAAGTTTCAAAACATCCAATGTCAGATGGACACCTTATACATAGTTGTCTTTCAACAGAGACAATACTGTGACTGCACTTCTTAGTTATTTTTTGATGAAAAAATTGTTTTGTCTCAAGTTTTCGGTAAAGGATTTTACCGCAATTTCGCTTTCAGATACGCATATGGCCAATTAGCATCATTACAGCTCGTTTATATCAATTTACTATGTAACTCTAATTTAAATCGTGAATTGCTTGTTACTGCTCAAATATTATTCACTACGAAATTCCCCGAGTTTGTTACGAGTTTGCCAACGTAGTTAGCGTTTGTAAAATTACAAATTAGTGTTTAAGTAAAGTGTTGTATATCAATTGATTTTTACATATCGTTAATCAAACTGATTTTCTGTTATAATGGTTGCTACGTTTTGCGATTATGAAGATTTTAGTTAGCAACTAGAGTTATCCTATTCTTATCACTTACAAATTTATCTACGGCTTACGTTATCAGTGTTTGCATAAAGTTAATTCACACTGAAATAATCTTAATCTATTTTAGACAACTGTAATCGCCTTTGTTTTAGAAATTACTTTTTTTACCTTTAAAAATAGAAGAAAAACTCAATTACAAATAATTGTGCAAAATATAAATATGTTTTAAATAATACTAGAAATTAATAGTACATTGTAAAGTTACATATTGAATAATTTCTCTGATTGATAATTGTATGACGAAACTGATAGTAATATAATACATAGTCATATTAGCATTTGACCCACAATGGCCGATTAAATAAGCACCTAAGTTTACAGTTACAAATTAAGTATGTAACTTGCCATACAAACAATGCCAAATAACCGCTAAGAATTCCGGCTCAAATTCAAGATAAAAGCTAAAACAAATTTTCCTCATCACTTTACATGGTTTTCCGCTTAAAATTAATAATGAAGTCTTCAACAAAACTTAATTACAAATACCAAACTACTTCAAGGTTAAATAAAGTAATTGTTTAGGTAATAATCAAAATTTCCAACACATAGGTTTTTTATAGATTTATGTATACTGAAAAATTCTTACCTACAAGAATTAATGAATACGCATTGTAAAGCAGTGTCTTGGATACAATGGGTAGCGGAATCACAACAAAGATAAAGCGTCCGGTTTCGATCACGTGTGATATTGAATCATCGACTTGTTTTATTTCGCACACTTTAGACGACCGCTCCTCGCCGCCACACACCAGTCAATGAGGATTGACACGACCGAAATTGAGTAACTCTGATAAAGTTACATCATTATTTTTCTATAACAGTTGACCACGGGACAAGCGTCATCTATAACCTGTATAAACAACACTATTTTTGATATAGAACAGTTAATAATTTTAGCGTTCTTATTCAACATTTCATAACTTTCTTTGTATAATGCCAAACTAAGAGGGTCGCTGACGCAATTCACTTGCAAGTATGACGCATGGAATTATAGATTCGGAATACTGCACGCCGACGCCGTACGATCTCTAATATCCGTTCAGCTGAATATTCTCGCGTCAGAATGCGTCCGCGTTGACAGAACATTGTTGTACCACCGTTGTTAGCATTGACCACATATTGACGCTCAATCCATGTAACTTCCTTCTCCATGTAGCGAGTTATTTGTACTAATGTTAGTGACGTCACGTAGATAATTTCCCCAATTTGACAGTGACGTATCCGAAATCGTTGATAAGCAATTAAGTTCCTTCTAATTTGTTCGCAATACACTTTCTATCATTATTGCTATCATTAGATAGTTAGATTATTAAATAATCACGATCTTGTTGCATGTTTATTGGCTCACGTGAATATATAACCGATCAATTTAGGTATAACAAAAACAAAAACGTCGTTCATTTAAAAAAATGCATTTAATTTTACTAGTAATTGTGTAACCAAAATGCATTTTGGCTTTAAAGTTTTACAAATAATTGCTATTGTAATAATAAAAAATGTTATATTTAGTTTCTAAATAAATAAATACCACTATCATTATTAAATGGTAAATGTTAATATTCAATGAAATCGATATCGTAAGCGCATGGTGATTAATCAACGGAAAGATGTATGAACATTATCTAACATGCGGCGACAACACGCGCCTGTTGTAAAAAAATGTGATATTTATCAGTTACATTATTTCTAAACCTTCGTATCCTTATTGATATGAAATTTAGAAGATATGTATAAAAATGATATTAAATAGGATTGATTAAACCAATAAAATAATTCTTTAATGTTTTAGTAAGAACTTCTATGTTAATGTTATATGTAAAATACGGTCCGACGGTGGCGTTGACCGAGACGTAAAAAGCCGAATAAATGCAGGTTGGATGAAATGGCGACAGGTTACTGGTGTGACTTGTGATCCAAGAATGCCTCTTAGGCTTAAGGGACAGATCTACAAGTCCATCATAAGACCTGTCGTATTGTATGGATCTGAATGTTAGGCCACCAAAGTTGCGGATGAAAGGAGATTGCATGTGGCTGAGATGCGTATGTTAAGATGGATGTGTGGTGTGACAAGATTGGATAAAGTTAAGAATGTGTACATTAGAGGAAGTTTGAAAGTAGCGCCAGTGGTGGAGAAATTGAGAAGCAAAAGGTTAGCGTGGTATGGACATGTTATGCGACGAAATGATGGGGACATAAACCAGAAAGTGTTAAGATTGAATATGGATGGCTACAAAGGAAGAGGAAGACCGAAGAAAGTATGGATGGATTGTGTGAAAGAGGATATGCTTAAAAAAGGAGTGGATTCAGATATGACGGCTGATAGAGATGTATGGAAGAGCAGCACATACTGTGCCGACCCTCCATAAGGGATAAGGGCAGGTGGATGATGATGATGATGATATGTAAAATACGGATTTTAGATATAAATATTTTTTTCCATTAGAAAATAAACGTAAAACCATATTAAATTTTGATATTCATTTTATTGAATTATTATCCACTAATTGGACATGAAAAAGTGTTATCTACATGTCATTTTCAAACACGCCTTTCGTCTAAATCACGTAATCACGTGATTTATGTTGACGACGATGACGACTTATGTTTCAACGGAGTAAAACTAAAGTTACGTAGTTTGGAAATGCATTTTATGAAGGTATCTAACTTACTTTATTTATTTATTATTTATTCATAGGCCATTATTTATTCATTTGTTCACACACAGCGACTTATTAACACAAGTTAAATAAATTAATAAGAGCGTTTTGAGTTTAGCGGCATTTTCATACTGCCTTGCGCATCCGGCTTCTTATTGAAATCTCTTGAAAGACATGGTAAATAATCATTCCTCGTTTGCATTTGTGAAATAAAAGCGGGCTGATCCTCTTGCGGTACTTTCATATAAGGCAATATTTTAAAAATATGGAGAAAATGTTCCAAAGGAAAATCGTTTCAGCTAAATAAATACCATTAGAGCAAAAGATTATTTTGAGTCAAGCTTCTTTTATGGTTCTATTTTGATATGTACTATTGAAAATGTACCTTTATTTTCTATTTGAAGTTCAGTTAAAAACGACTACAGGAGACTTTTTTATATGGATTTTATAGATTTTAGATCATAAAACAAATACTATTTTGTTCTTGGTTTATTATAGAGCCAGTTACATAAAAGAATTGAAATTGCATTACTTTTATCGGAATCGAAATCATAATATGTAAGCTATTTATAATATTTTATAAAATTTATTACATCTAGCGAGGACAGCGCCCTTATCATTTTGATTTACACCAATATTTATATCATTTTAAACACGATCACGTTTTTAGTAAATGGTTATTGAGTAAAAATATTGTGGCTTTTTAACCGCAAATGGAAATGAGATCCGATTGATTTATAATTTCACTTTATTCTAAATCTTTAGAGATGTTTACGTTCAGTTGCCGCTGTTTGTTTTTATAATCTTAGGATTATTGTGGCGGTTTCTTTTGAAATTTTTAGACATCATTAAAAAAATAAGGACATTATTTTATGGCACAATATGGTAATATTCCATGGATAAATTTCGTAGTAGAACAAAACAATAATATAAAACAAAAAGTGGATAATTCTTCCACATTTTATCGCAAAAAATCACGACCCACTTTCCATCTCTACTATTGTTTAATAACAGTTTACACACAATAGTTTTAAAGACAATGAAAATGAATATTAAAAACGGTCCATAAATTGCTATTGCTTTGGTTCAAATTGTTGAACATATATTGATGTATTTTTTAAAGTATTAATGCTGGAGGCTGCAGTACGTAGGTACAATAACACAAAATACGAAATGCTGCAGCTCATCGTTCATGGTAATATCCAAAGATAACGAAGTGTAAGTCAAAGAAGAACATCCTAAATAATCTCCGCCAGTAGATCACCTAATTAGTATTTCAGAGCCGCGGTCTCAAGAGTAAGTACATGTTTCTCTAGTGCTCGTTTTTGCAGTTGAACAAAGTCATCATAATATAAGTACCACTTTATTACACACACATTTTACCATCTTACTTTAGAATTAACAATATAGAGATGATCAGATTACTAAAACTAAATTGCATTTACTTGATTTCGTAACCTAAAATTCTTCAAAATCCGTTAAAAAAATATAATTTAAAAGGAAAACGAATACATTGTATTCTAATTGATAAAAACCAAAGGGTAAGTCTAAAGTGTATGAAATTACCTTGATTTAGTTATCTGTAGATAAGCTATATCTTTCTATTACAAAATGTTAACAGAAATAGTTACTACGACAAAGCGATATTTACGTAAGAACAGTTTGAATAAATTAAAATTTCCATTAACCTTTTCGATTATTTTAAATTCCCAGCTTAACGATAATAATCTACGATGGTTAACTCTTACTTATTTCTGTCATAATTTTAAATGTTACTATGCCTTTTGTTCATTATGCAAATATGCAAACAATAAGGATCCCTTAAAAGTGAAAAATCCAACACGTATAATGAAAAAATATACTTCCAACGTAATGAAACGCGTTTGTTTATTTAATGGCATGATAAACAAGTATTTGTTGCCATGTTACGGAATCTAAAGAATATTTATATGGAATGTGAACAGATCGATAGCAAATACGAAGATATAGTGAGGCAATTTCGAGGAGTCGTGACGCCGTTACCCGATGGAAGGCATCTAAACGCAGCGGGTAGCGAGTTACTAAGAAAGGGATGTGCCCCGTGACAAGAGCAAATTAACGAGGGGCCTGGCTCTCTTGAAATTTACATGGGGTATGAATACTACGCTCTAGGATTGTAACCGTGCTAGACCGGATTTACTGACACGAATAGTTTCAGCAAGCACACACTTATGTTCCTTATAAGGTACTGTAATTAAAGAAGACACGAACAAACTGCCGTCTTCCTTATAAAGACCACTGATGTTAATTCAACGAGCTTACCTCACACAAACAATCGTTAAACTTGGAGATGAAATTAATTGCTGGTGTTGTATAATTGATTGAGGTTAAGCTTAGCTGTAGCCGTCTACAGTATTCTTATTTTTTTTTTAAGTTATACGCTTTCTTAATGTAACTTTTATGTTACAAATATCTTTTATTATATATACGTCGGAGCTATACTAGCTGCTTGCGACTTCTCCTGATTGAAATTAAGAAACAATAAAAAATGGAGCCTATGTTATTCGCAGATAATGTAGCTCTTTAATGGTAAACGTATTTTTGAAATCGGTCCAGCACTTTTTGAGTTACTTTAATACATACAAAAATATAAATCTTTCCTCTTTATAATATTAGTAAAGATTAGAGGAAAGCACAATATATATAGATTCAAACCACGAGCATTAGATTTAAAGATGAACCATTGCAAGAATCGTCGTCTTCCATAAAATAATAATTTAACATCGTTAAAAACAACTCTCAATTCTTAATTAATCCGCTCGTTGCCGCAAAGTAATAGATAATAATCAGTAAAATACATTTAAAACTTAGTCCGCGAAATTCTACAAACATACTTTATACGATGGCGACGAAAATCGGAGAACTTAAATTGACTAAAGTTATATCGTTTGTTTATCAGTAAATTTTCTGTTCCAGATGTGCTCGCCGAACTGGTTATAGTTAAGGGAAGGCGCGTATTGGTGTAACGTATGGCACCGCAGAGCGCTTAGCACGGAATTCGATTCGACTAATGCGGCCTAATCCTGACCGGCAGCGCACAAATGGCAGTGCGCATTCCAAAAGGCCATATGAGATTCGCTCC